GACCCAAATGGAACCAAGGTCCCCATTAGCTACCTTGTACAGTGGAAGGATGTTCTCTGAAGAAGAGAGAATTACTTTTAATTGTTCCCTGAGTTCCCTATATGAAGTTTCTAAGACAGTGTGTATGAGAGAGATCATATCTGGGTAAGGAAAAGGAGTGGTTGGAGAGAGTTCCATGGGTAGAGAGGAAGGAGGAAGGGGATAAGTTAAAGGAGAGGAGTGGGAGCAGAGTTGCTAGATGGGGTAGCTGATCATGGAGGGTGAGCAGGGGTGTCTTAGTTTGTTTCTTCGTTGCTGTGACAAAATACTCTGACCACTACCAACTTGGGGAGGAAAGGGGTTATTTGTCTTACATCTCCCAGGTCACAGTTCATCAGGGAGCCCAAGGTAGGAACTCAGGGCAGGAACCTGAAGGCAGGAGCTGGAGCACAGGTCATGGAGGAACACTGCTTATTGACTTGCTCCCCTGGCCTCTGCTCAGCCTGCTTTCTTATGCTACACAGGCCCACCTTCCCAGGGGTGGCACCACCCACAGTGGGCTGGGCCCTCCCACATCACTCATCAAGAAGATGCCCCACAGACATTGCCACAGGCCAGTCCAATAGAGGCAATTCTCCAATTGAGGCTCCCTCAACCCAGGTGTGTCAAGTTGACACTAAAGCTATCCAGCACAAGGGGCTTGAGTGCACACAAAGGAAGAGTCATCAAATATATTAACTGGGACTGAGTTTAGCATGTACAAGATCCAAGCAAATACAAGTAGACAAAAACCCAGCACAGAATGTGGAAATGGGCAGCAGATCCCAATCTTAGCTGGAGAACTATTAGCCCATTGATTACTACTGGGTGAGGAAGAGCTGATTTTCTTTAAGGGGATGACTCTAGACAGGCTGACTAGATCCTAGTGGATAAGCATGCACTGAAGGACATCAGGAGATACTAACTTGACTTGAGAGGCCTTAATGTAAATGGCATAATGCATAAAATCCAGTGAGGGGGGCTATGGGAGGGTTCCAATGGGAAAGGGGGCATAAAGATGATTAAGATATTGTGTATGAGATACACAAAAATTTTCTTAATTAAATAAAATAAATTCCAACTCTACCTCAAAAAATTAATAATCTTGTAAAATAATCTAGTACAGCATATACAACATCAACAGAGTATGTTGCTAACAGGCCCAAGGACATTTTGACTTTTCATCCAGAAACTGGCTACATTTCTTTGGAGTCTTTTACCCTAAATGCCTAGCCAATTCTTACCTCCTATTCTTATCACACCATGCTCTGAAGGGGTTACCCAAAAAACCAATAGGGAATAGGGACGCAGACCGCTCTGGCTTCTTCCATGCTGAACAGGGATGCAGGGTGAGGCAATTGGAGTGCCCCTTCAGTGGGACTATCCAAAAGACTCCCAAATTGCATAACTCTTATCTCTAAGGGCAAAAGAAAGTCCTTTAATCGTGAATAGGAGATGTGAAGGAGAAGTAAAGGCAAGGGTAATTAGCATTACAAGTTCTAGACAGGGAACTAGAAAAAAGTCAGAACAGGGCAATTTTCAAATGTTCATATGAGAGTCTATCGGAATTTCTTGACAAGGGCTTCCAAAAGCATCCCTCTATTGGGTTTTTCCTCATCTTTCTTTTGTCTTCCAAGGCTGGGCTAGTTGGCTGGGAAGAGTGGCTTAGATACCCAGGTGAGGGTCCAGTGACCCTGCTTGGCAGTCCTTTAATGAATGAGCACAACCGTCAACAAGCCCAATTGTGACTATGTTTAGCGATCAGGCTCAGCTGAAGTCGTGATGATGGTAGTTATTTCATGCAGAAGGAACTGCTGTATAGCATCATCTTATTAAAAGGACCTGGAGTTTAATAGGATTTGGTGCTAGGAACTACATATGAGGGAGAACATACTTCGTCTGTTTTTCTGAGTCTGTGTTACTTCACTTAGTATAACAGTTTCTAGATCCATCCATTTACCTGCAAATTTCATTATTTTATCGCCACAAATATTCTTATGTCAGGAGCCATACCATGAAGTGTAGTTAACATATCAGACTGACACCTTTAAAGAAAACTGACTCTCCTGGCAGCAATCAATTGCTAATAATTCCTCAGCTAAGGATAGGACTTTGTACCTAACTCCCCCCTCCATGCTGGGATTTTGTCTGGCAGAGTTTGCACAGGTCTTGTGGGTTCATATGTACATCCACTCCCTCTGGCTTTTACATTATTTCTGTCTTCTCTTCCATAAGTATCCCTGAATCTTGGGGAGATGGGTAATATATAGATGTTCCATTTAAAGCTGAATGCTCCACAGTCTCTTATTCTCTGCATATTGATCTGTTGTGGATCTCTGTTAATCACCATATACTTCAAAAAGAGATAGGCACTAATCTATGAGTATAACAGTAAGTTATTAGAAGTCAGTTTAAAACAATGTCCACTTAGCAGAATAATACTAGTTGGCACTCTCCTAGGGTCTATAACCTACTGGCCACAAGTCCTGGACCCCAATAATGGTTCCAGGTATGGATTCCATGTGGAATCCATCTAGAAAGTGGTTGTTTACTCCCATTACATTCATGCCACTATTGTACCAGAGGTCCTATCTTGCCAAGCCAGTCATTATTGTAGCTTTCAGGGTTCACAGCTGGGTAATTGAAGACTACCCTGATGATTATTTTTCTCCTCCAGTAGCATACATAACGCCTTCCAGCCCTATGAAAGCTAATAAGTAGGGGTGAAATTTCAGTCAGTACCATCTTGATTTCTCCATGTTCTATGACTCAAGTATGTAGTGTTTTCAATAATAGGATCTTACTGTCAAGTTCTAGTGAGTAACCAAGAGCAATGGCAATAGCCAGTAATGTTTGGGGAGGAGATTTATGGGATCCCACTGGCCAACAACTCCAAAGAGATAACCCATTCCTGGCACTGGGCTTTTTACTTGCTAGCCTGTGGTTGTCCAGTAAGGGACTTGTTTTCCTGTTATAGGGTTACTCCAAATAAACTTTTTTAATATAGGCCCATGTTTTTCTACAGTAGTCAGTTTCCACATGACTTTTTCAAAAGGCCTTTAGTGTTAGTTACTCATCCCCATAATCCTTCCTCTACTCTCCCTCGCATTCCACACCTGCATTTAATCATATCTGTTCCATTATTCCCCTTTACCCCTTTATATCACTGCATTTCATCTCCCCTCCCTTGAACTCCCCTCCTCTGTGGCCCCTCATTAGTTTCCTGACCTCTATGGGTTTTCTAAGTGAAGTATACATATCTAAAGATTCAAAGCTAGTGTCCACATATGAGAGAAAACATGCAACATTTGTCTTTCTGGATCTGGGTTACCTCACTCAGAATGACTGTTTCCAGCTCCATTCACTTACCCTCGAATTTCATAATTTTGTTTTTCTTAACAACTGAATAATATTCCACGGCTTAAATGTACCATACTTTCATTATCCATTCATCAGTTGATGGATATCTAGGTTGTTTCCATTTCCTGGCTTTTGTAAATAGAGCAACAATGAACATGGATGAGCAGATATCTCTGTAGACAGATATGAAGTCCTTTGGGTTTATCCCCAGGAGTGGTATGAGTGGATCGTGTGGCAGATCTATTTCTAGCTTTTTGAGGAACCTCTGCACTGATATTCCATAGCTGCTGTACCAGTTTGTACTCCCACCAGCAGTGAATAAGTATTCTCCTTTCCCCACATCCACTTCAGCATTTGTTGCCTTTTTTAAAATCTTAGCCATTCTGACTGGGGTAAGATGAAATCTCAAAGTAGTTTTCATTTGCATTTCTCTGATGGCTAAGGATATTGAGCATTTTTAAAAAGATTTCCTGCCATTTGCATTTTATCTTTTAAGAACGCTCTCTCTAGTTCCTTGCTCTAATTTTTAATAGGGTTGTTTGTTTTCTTCTTAATGCTTAGGTGGTTTTTTGGTTTTTTGGTTTTGTTTTGCATATTCTAGCTACTAAGCCTTTGTCAGATGTACAGCTGGTAAACATTTTTTTCCCATTCTGTAGGCTGTCTCTTCACTTGAATGATGATGCCCTTTACTGTAAACAAGCTTTTTAGTTTCATGTGGTCCCATTTGTCAATTGATGTTCTCAAATCCTGCACTATTAGGGTCCTGTTCAGAAAGTCCTTTCCTGTGTCTATAAGTTCAAACATATCCCCTACTTTCTCCTCTATTAGATTCAGGGTGTCAGGTTTCTTGTTGAGATCCTTGATCTATTTGGAGTTGAGTTTTATGCAGGGTAAAAGATAAGAATCTAGTTGGTTCTTTAAAAAAATTAATAAGATTGACAAACCTTTAGTCAAACTAACCAAAAGAAAGAAATAGAAGCTAAATTGAAGGTAAAATTTTACAAACTGAAAGTTGCCATGGATTGGTCGATGGACGGACCAAGAGAACAAGACATAGTGGTACTTGCCTTTAATCTCAGCACTCAGGAGACAGAGATAGGCAGATCTCTGTGAGTTTGAGTCCAGCCTGGTCTACATAAAATTCCAAGTCAGCCAGAGCTACATAGTGAGACCCTGTCTCAAAAAGTAAAAGAAAGAAAAAGGAAAAAAAAAAGGAAGGATTTTGGTTTACACTTCTGGGGGGATACAGTCCTTTATGACAGAAAGGGTATTGCAGCAGAAACAGGAAATGACTGGTTGAATTATGTCCACAGCCAAGAAGCAGAGAACAGAGAATGCCTGTGTTCAGCTCGCTTTTTCCTTTGTTTCACTCTAAGATCCCAGTCCACGGAATGGTACCACTGACATTTAGGGTGCATCTTCCCACCTCAGTTAACCTAATTTAGAAAATCCTATACGCATGTCCAGAGACTTATTTCCATGATGATTCTAAATCCCATCAAGTTGATAATTAGGATTAACCATCACACTTGGCCAGGGTCCTTCAGTTGAAAACAGGAAGCAAGGTTTTCCAAAAGGCCTAAAAAGAAATCCTTAGCTTCTACTCTATTGGGTGATGGCAGTCTTTAGCAACAGCCCAGGGGCCTTCAGGCTTCCCTGGAGAGCAGCCAGAGAACGTCAGTTATCCATAGGCAAACTGACAGACCACCACAAGAACCAGAGTAGAGGTAAAGGAGGGAAAGGAGAAAGTTCCCCCTCTAGGAGACCAAAATGTTGTTCTAGGACTACCAGTGACAAACCAAAAGCTTAGGGATGAAAGCGTTTTCCAGATCGAGAGTTATATAAATATTTAATAAAGAAAACATGCCATAGGAGAGACTAAGACACAGCAGGCAAATTCTCAGAAAGAAAATCCCCCCCCCTCCCCCGGCCAAAGGAAATGGAGTTCATTTATAACTGGTCTTATCTCATGTGCCATTTGTATGGGGTTCATTTCTGAATAGATAAGTGGACATATTACCATCTTGTTAAGTAATGAATTTTACAATATAAATTGTCTTTCTTGAGGCTGGCCATTTGGAATAATATATCACAAGTCATTAGGAGTTAGGATTTAGATGTTTGAATAACACATTACAAGTAACTGGGGCCAGGCTCCAAGTAGTCAGGGTCTGACTTGCTTTTATTTTTGGTCTTTTTGTCTCTAGAAATGGGCTCCCAGTTCCAATATTTCTATGATTCTCACACCACCACCTCAACACCTTTTAAGCTAGTAGTCCTGATGCTGAGGCATCTTCAGAATCTATTCCAGGAGCACTAGCATTTAGTGGGCCCATTGGGCTCAAGTTTAGCACTGTTATTGACAAGTTATACTTTTTGAACTATTGTGCTCATTTCTCAGGCCCAGTGTCCTCATGGGTAAAATATTTAGACTACAGAATCACCAGAGTCACTCCCAATTTCACTGTAGTTTGATAAGGACCCTTGGAAAGCCATTGAGGGCTATGTACCAATTTTGCTTTCATAGTTATCACTAGATCCCTCTGGATTCCTCTGGATCCCTCTGGATCTTTCTATAGTTGTGCTATTCTCAGTTTTAAAAATCTGATCCGCTGGGCATGTTGGTGTACTCTTGCAGTCCCAGATATCCAATTGCCTGAGGCAGGAGGATGACTTGATCTCAAGAGTTTGAGGCCAGCCTGGGCATCACAGTAGGACCCTAATTCAGAAGCAGAGGGGAGAGAGAGGAAGGGAGGGAGGGAGGGAGGGAGAGAGAGAGAGAGAGAGAGAGAGAGAGAGAGAGAGA